GATTTGGCTGCTGGGGTGTGATGGAAAATAAATTACTGAGTTTTTTAAATTTTCAACACTGTCTTTTTGATTCAGAAAAAGTAAACAAAGTGCACACACACCTAAAAGTGTGCATTAAGCTATCCTCAAAAAGCAGCTGAGCTGACAATGAATACACTCATAAAATCATACAACAGCTTGGGTTGGAAGGGACCTTAAAGATCCTTGAGCTCCAACCCCCCTCCATGGGCAGGGTTGCCTACCACAAGATCAGGCCAATGCCTAAAAAAACAAAACAAGCAACAGGAAAATGTAACATCAAGATCTTAAAGACTTTCATGTTTCTTCCTTTCCAAGTTATCCCACAAATGCAATGGGTTCCATGTGCAATATTTAAAAGAGTTTTAAAAAAAATGCTGTCTTGCTTCCAGGAATACTTTGTTGGTAAAGCATGGATATAAGGGCATTTTAAGAACACATTTAAATGGATTCCTGATCTTGCAAACTGCTAAGCACTCCTCCCAAGTGAACTCACTTCATATTTCCTAGGCTTTGCTCAAAATCTCTCTTAATTAAACTTTGCTAATAAAACCAAAGGTCTCTATTTAGCTCCATAACTGTACTCTATTGATGACACGGTTGTTTTGTCAGCACCACTTATCTGCGTATTTATTTTCAGTCAAAAAAATGCAGTGTTTGTACATGTATAATATATGTATGCATTTTTTTTATAGTGAGATATAGAAATTGAAACTTTAGGGAAAATAAGTCATATTAGACAATGTAAATGAAAATTGTTTTTGGAAGAAGATGTTTTGTCTTGGGTGGCTTTTTAAATTCCAAACAAGTATTTCACAAACAGGCATCATCACTACGTTCTTATCTACTGTATGTATTTTATGCCTGAATTTTTCTAAATTAAAAAAAAGAATAATAATTACAACTCTGTTTATTTAAAACACAGGGTTAAGAATGTAAACTGTAAATTTAGCTGTAAACCTACAATGTTTTTCTGCTCTGTGATGCTGTTAAGGAACACAGCAGGGCAGTGTCCAGCATCGGATGGATGCTCTTCTGAACTCTGTGTTCCTTTCACTTTCAATTCAAAATCACTAGCAAGAATTTTAAAACTTGTTAAGTTGGCATTATGCAAAAACAACAGCTGGTGTGTACAATGTCTTTTCCAGCTGCAGTCTTGCAATGGGCACCACGTTGCAGCTTATGCTTGGTTAAAATTTTCCCAGGGAAATGCAATGGAGGTTTCCCAAAGAAGAGCAGGTAAGATCTATTCAGCCCTGAGTCGTGCTTGGGTACAAACAGGAAATCATGAGTTCTGTTAGTTGCAAATGTCACTGGAAAAGTAAGGAGGAAAAAGAAACATTTCCCACCACTTTGCTGCAAAGGAGCTTTTCAGAGAGGAGGAGCAAAGGGGCTGTATTAACTCATACATGGGATGAGCAGACAAAAAAAGCAAGGCTGTCTGTACCTTCAGGAACCCATTTTTGAGCTGGGACAGAAAGCATTACCATTTTGGCCATGTGGCAGAAGAAGTGGAAGAAAAGGAGAGAAAACTAATTCCATCCATCTATCACTGGCAGAAGCAAAGCAGCCTTGTGGTGTTCTTTGCATCAGTGACACGCTTGAATCTGCAGACATGAATATTCAGAATATTCACATATTCAGAAGAGAAGTGACAGTGATTGCCTGGCAAGACAACACAACAACCAGGAGGTAACTGTGTGCTGTTTGTCGGGTGAGAGCTACAGCACTGCAGGATGGCAGAGCTGGGTGTGCTGGCAGCATTTCTCCACAGGAGACAATTTGTGTCCATTTGTGCACCTAGCATACAGTGCCTGCTTGCAATGCATGCTCTTGGAGCCAAGTACTTAATTGTGTAAGTGCGTGCTTGGGCAACAGAGTTCCAGCAGTGCTGGAAATGCATTGCACAGTCCCCATGGACAACATGTGCACAGATATCTGACTGCAAAGCAACATTTTTCTCACGGCGTTCAGTTTGACAGCTACAGCTGCTCCCTGCTGAATACCTTCTGAATTCTGGTGAGGAATTGCAAGTACGAAAAGTGAGTACAGATACACCAGAAAGTGTCTCTGTGGCATAAATTCATTGTATCATTGACTCTCCGACACTGATGGATTCTTTCTTGCAGTAATGGTTCAGTTTAAAAATAAATGTGTAAATATTTAGTTCTATACAAGTTCATAGAGAAATGTAATGGTCTCTGTAATGGCAGTGATATCTTTATCTGCTCTTTGCATACCCTAGAGGAATTATTACGTTGGCAGTTACTTTTTCATAAGGAAGACATCTAAGTAAGAAATATAGACCACATTGCTCACCAGATGAAGGAAGACAAACAATCAATAAATCAAAAAGTGTGACTGATGGAAATCTGTGACTGTTTAATTGTAGAAGGTTGGAAGTTCTCTCATTTTGAAGGATAGTGTGGTCTGGCTGTACTTGTACATGTGACGTACACATGCTTTTTCACTTACACCAGTTTTAATTATACACTGGGAAGAAAATACTCATACTGGCAACAATTGTTTTCTCACTCTGTCTTAGATTAGCCAAACATTTTGGCAAACCATATTACCTCATCTTTTCCTATCTCTAAATTCAGAATACTTAGCAAAATTATTTTTAAAAAATTAGTGTTCAATTTCCAGTTTTATCTGCAATTATTAGCAGACAATCTGCAATTATTAGCCTTTCCCCATAATCTGATTATCCCATCTTCATCTACAGACAAAAGAAACCTTGATGCACACATAGCAGTCGGTGCAGATGAAGAAACTCACTCACTCACTCATTCCTTTCTTTCCTGCTCCTCCACATACTCTCTGTGGCAATGTCTGTGTCAGCAAATCAGATCAGCACAGGGACCCCTCTTTGGAACTGCGGCCAAGGGGCTCAAAGCAGACTGCCCACTCCTCCAAACTCTGCTCTGGACCTGTTTTTCTCCAGCTGTCCTCTGGCAGTGTTCTCACGGCTGCCAACCATTAAACCATTCATTGTGGGGCAGTTGTTTGACACATCCCTAGCACTGTGGTAATGAGCGAAGACTAACCACAGAAGGAAGAACATATGAAGAGAAATATTCCTACAGAATGGCTTTTTCCTCCCAAACCTCCTTCTGAATGTAATCTTATAGCTCAGGGCAGCAGGACAAGTCCACTGGTGTTGCAGATGACACCACTATGTCACCTCAGTGCTGACAATTCTATTCTCAGTTTCTTTCAGACTTTAAAGCACACAAACACACTCACAGGAATACACCTGAAGTTGATTAATGCATTATTTCATGAGTTCAGTGCTTACAGTGGGACAGGTTGTGTCCAACAGTACACACATGGCATTCAATCTAGATGAAGGTAATCAAAACTATCCATCTTGTAGCAAAAAAAGGAGAAATATGGCAGAGTTAATGCTCCAATTAGCTTAAACACTTATTGAACTTAATTAACTGTTATACTGCTTGAAGATGTTCCATAAATGAATTACAAATGTGCATGTGCAGAGGAGTGGCACTAATCTATGTAATTAAAGCACAGAGATTTATTAAAAGATCTCACAAAATCCATTGTAGCCACAAATATGAAAGCAAGTCTTACTAAAATCTTCTAAATGAAACTATTATTATTAAAATCAGATTTTTTGTTGTTGTTGTTGATGTTGTTGCTGTTCTTCTTTTCTTTCTGGCTTCTTGCTTATATTCATGGTCATGTCTTGAAATTCCTTACTTCTGTGAATACTTACATTTCCACATGTCCTTTGCATGATTTTCTATTATATGCAAAACTCTGTGCCCTCTGAAATGCATCAGAATTCGGTGCTGGTTCCTGGGGGATGTCTTGCAGGGTGTGTATCGCTGGCTGTAGACAAACTGCATTTAGTTGGAAATGATACATTTCACCATTCAATAGCTAACTTTGCATCCTTTTTTCTTTTTCTTTTTTTTTTTTTACAAAACGCAACATTTCATTGCACAGATAATTTGAATACCTTTGTCATACTGAAGAGGGAAAGAACTAATTAAATCCTAGATTGCTAATCAAGTTGAGAACACAATATGGAAATTCTCATTAAACAGCAGGCAAGTAATGGTGCTCAGATTGTGATAGAGACTAATGTGTCTTGCAAATGAAAACGCCATATCCAATCTGCAATACAATGATATGCACAGATTTCTCCCTGCCCCCATTCCCACTCTTTACTGAAGTCGAAAGTGCACTCCATAATGCATTATTAAACTAAATTCTGACCCAGTTTCTTAATTATCTGTAAGCTACGGGGAACTTGCAGCAGAATATTAACTAAGGCAAGAGATATAAGACAGGAGAATTCACGATGGTATTAGAGAGAATTAGTAACATTTTGCTATGAAAATCCTTCACATTTTAATATTTAACCTCGCCTAACTTGTAGACTTTACATTTTAGAGAGGTACAAAGCATATTCCAAGCAAGCCACCAAAACAACTCAGGAAAAAGAGAAAATAAAAGTATTTGGGAAAGCACTGGTGGATCCGCAAAACCAAAAACCTGTAGCATGCTGCCATTTGTCTGGGACAAAGTATCTTTCTCAAAGTAGACAGCTGTTACGATCTCACGTAACGTAATGTGCTGAACATTTATTTTAGCTGAACCATATAATATAATCTGATAAGGGTTATATAATGTGTACAACAGTTTTGGGTGTGCACTAAGAATAAGCAACTGCTAAATGACAACTTGGAAGAACCTTCCAAGCACATTTGAGCCTGGTTAGCATCAACTCAGTGGTTTCATTTATATAACTCCCTGCAACGGGACATATTAGTGGAATATGAGAAGTTTCCCTGGTTAAAAATCAACCATGGCTATACTACATCTGAAACAAAGAATACATGGACTTCTACCTACAAAGCTGCAGACGTATGTGGTTTTGAAACTTACTGTAGCTATGAAAAAAGACATAGAAGCATTTGAGTGAGTGAAAAACATACTGCAGGAGCAATGTATTCAGTGAGAACAATTTTTAATATAAAATATATGCCAAAATTATTTGGGGGAAAAATACTTTCCCCACCCCAAAGGTGAAGGATTTTTGGTATACTCATGTAGAAGTTCAAGCTTTAATTGCAAAATTTAGACAGCAGAGAAAGACTGCAATGTATACCCAGAATTATGTGGACAAGGATGTACATATTCAGCTCAAAGATCAAAGAATGTCCATGGAGTCCAATCACCACAGGGTTAGGAAGTCACCTCGCTCAGCAGAATATAGAATTTTTATATATTATTTTTTTAAAGATTTGTTCCATAAATTCATCAACAAAGAAATCCTACAGTTTAAAAATGAGTAAGAGTCAGTTAAATACTATTTTTTATTAGTAATAGTGTCAAATGCGACTTGTAGCAAGTTTGTAGCTTGCAGAACATTGATGATTTGAAAGTGCTAATGAGCTTAATGTACATTCATGTACATTGCTTCAATTTGAAGTGTAATTTCTCTACTGGAGCACCTGGATGTGTCATTGCTAATGCTAACACAGCGAATTTCCCACCTCACCGCACTAAATATTATTTTTCTTCTAGGAACAAAGGTGTCTGAAAATTCTCCAAAGTGACAAACAATGAGACTGAGACACCTTTCCTTTCTGTATAAAGAAAACAAACAAACAAAACCCAACATTTTGTAGTTGAGTACCTACATCTGTGCTTCAGCATCTACACAAATTGCCTGATTTTCAAAGGCCAGATTGCTTTACTTTGTAAAAGTAGCACATGCTCTCACACTTGCATGGTGCTGTGTTTTTCTTTTAGAATAATCTGCTCTATCAGGCCCGAACATCCACCCACAGTATCCTCTACAGAACATGAACACATTTGTTTCACAGAGATGCATTCACAGTTCCTTTGTGTTCGGTGGCAATAAAGCCAGCAGTCACCCAGCTCTCCACGACCAGAGGATGTTTACCCACGTCAGTATGTCCCACACACCGTCTGTGACATCCTGGCTCACAGTGTCTGTGGTTCTTTCATCTCCTGAAGTGTTTGATCCAGTGGTGGACTGTGAGGAAATCTGCACGGCCTCTTAGGTGGGAAACCATTCTGACGGATGCAGACTTGGCTGGAGAGACAACCCAAGGGCCTTTCCTTTGTCTTTGACAAGCAAAGAGAAGTCCTTAGTGAAAATATGCTGGTATCTATTGCTCACTTCTTAGCATAATAACCAGTGCTATTATCGTTAAATGAAAGAGAACCCCCTTCCCCAAAAGCAAAATCATCTACTTGGGCACAGAAAGTGGTGCCTCTGTGTGTCATGCTGCCTTGTGATTGGCTGTTTTCCCACAAAAACGTCCAGTAAGAGATCCCTTCTTCTCAGGATTCTATTTCTTCCATCACTTCCATGACAATTGTTCGCGGGCCTGTCAGGATGAGGTTGCTCACTGTCCTGTAGTCCACATGCAGAACGTTGAGACCATTGACGGAGACAACAAATTGACAAACCTGCAGAGAGAGACAAGCAGCAAAAGTTGCACATTGTACTTTTTGTGTCTGGTTACTTATACACTTACATGTCAGCCTTACTCCCTGCTGGACATGCAAAATCTCCACAACTCTTCGTGCTGTCTTATTCAATACTCTTAAGAAAAATGCATCCCCTAGACTTAATTTGATGAATTAGTTTTCCTTCTTTTTCTCTTTTTTTTTTTTTTTTTTTAAATTTTTATATTACTGCAGCTTTGAATCCTGTGGCTTTTGAAGCCCTACATCATTCATTTTTTTTCTGATAACACCCCAATTTCAATTGTGCTGTGCAAACAACATAATCACTCTGCTCTACTGGGCCCAAACATCCACCCCACAGTATCCTCTACAGACAAGACAGCTCTGGCCATTGCGAACAGGCTGCTATCTCTAGTTTGAAATGATTTGGACAGCTCATGATAACCACCATTAAACGTGCATCATGATTCCAGGCCCAGCACAAAGCCTGGGTCACCAGACTGTGCCGGATCCTTCACCAGTGCCTGCTGAACCCAAAAGAACCAAATTCCAAGACATAATACCATGGAAAATTAAGTCAGTATTAAGATGGATTAAAATGCTACTGCCAATTTCAGGAGATATTCCTCCCCAGACATCAATATCGTAAAAAAGGCATCAAGGAAAAGAAAGATATCCAAACTTATTCCTCAAAAACATTGAGCCTTTTCTGGCTCTAATCATAATATTACAGTGTTTATTTAAAAGGTCAAAAGTGTGTGAAGTCTAGATCAGTGTTTTTAATGTTAAAAATAAAGAACCTAAAGCAAACAATATCATCCTGATGTTTCAATGAAAACAATGAATTCCTTAGAAGATTATCTTACTCATAAGTGATCTCGAGTCTGTATAAAAGAAGTCATGAACAGCAGGTACTAGAGAGATTCTTTTATTTTATATTTCACCTTTTTCTATTTAGGCAGAAATGCAACACAGAAATGAGTGAAGGAGAGGTAGGAAACAGCTCTGCCACCTTAGATGCTAGCCCTAAGCCAGACCTTCTCACATCATCTCATTTAACTTTTGTGCAACATCAGCTACCTTCCTCCTCAAGTACAAAGGATTTAATGTAGCAAAACTCAACTCGTATTGCTGCAAAATGTACGGAATATGGTTATCAGTGTTCCATTTAAGAAAATTATAGAGGAAGCAAGGCCAATCCAAAAATATGTTTCATCCAAAGTGCTACTGATGCTTTTACTCCTGGCAATTTTAAGCCTATGCACAGGGACAGCAGCAGCAGCTCCCAAAGACCCCCAAAGGGATGGCAAACCTCTGTTTTGCACCTCACCCCGTCAAATACAGAACTGCTCAGCAGAGCTGAAGATGTGGAAGTCTACCTTCCTGGTAGCCTCAACAAGCACCACAGTATGGCAGTCAGTTCTAGCACTTGAACACTTCCATGGCAATATGGCTGTATCTTTCCTATGCACTCCCATGCCATTTCAGCTGCAAACAGCACTGGGAAAACACTTCAGATTTTGCATGCAAAGTTTTCTGAATTTTAAGGTTTTTGACTGAAGAGGCAACCCATCACCCACTTCAGGGTGCCTCAATTAGCATTTGAGATGCATCTATTAGTTCAGAATGCAAATTCTTGCTATATGTATAGGTGTCTCAGCTCCCAGCAGTATTTCCTAATGCTTTGGTATGGCCTTCCAAGATTGTATCAAGTTTTATTGAATTATAGCTCTGGCTCCAAAACAATATTTTGTTTGATTTAAAACAGACCTGCAGAAATAACATTGTCTCTACTGGCTTAATGCAGGTTTTGGAAGTTGAGTGGCTGATGTTTGTTTTGCTGCTGCCTATTCTCAGACTTCTCGAGTTACCGGAATCCAAATGCATGGGACTCGTGTTTGGCCAGGGACAGGCACGTAGGCGTGTGATGGATAAATCTGCATTCTGGATCCTATGAGGGGCACCCAGGGGCCCTCAGGAAGGTGCCTAGCAGCAGAACAGACCTTCCAGACCAGCCCAAGTCTCACACCAGGGCTGCAACTGTCTAAACATGGGTGGACAGTGCCTCAGAGAACAGCAATCCAAATGCCAAAGAGTTACAAAAGACAAGAGTTGACACGCCTGCGTTCCCGGTATGTTTGTTTTAATGGATGCTCTTAACTCTAGTATGGCAGAGGGCTATAGGGGCTGAGAACAGTGTTCTACATGCCATCCTTTGCATTGGACAAGTGGCATTGTACTCGTAGTTTCACTATTTTTAACAGATAGGTTTAGATGCAAGAAAGTCCACCCAAGCCAGATGAGAAATGTAGAAAGGAGGCAAAAGGTATAGAAGACAACACATCTGTCCTAAAATTACATGAGTTAAAGAGCCAGTCACCCTCAGGACAGAAAGCTCTCTCCATGGCCATCATTTCACCTGTTCTCTCAAGGGCTGAATCTGCACATTCCAGTTCACTCATGGGATGTGCATCCATTTGCTAGGTCCTAGAGACAGGACAAGGACACAGGTTTTCATAATCCTGAACCCTTTAAGGATGAGGGAAGGTAGCAGTGTCCTCAACTCAGCCCACTGTGTTCTCCCATCTTAGCTGTCCGTCTAGTGCAGCAGCCAGGATGGGAAATGGAATCCAGCACAGCTTCATGCACATCAACTATCACAAGTCCTGCCCCAAGCAAGCCAGCACAGTGTGCTGCTCTCCTGATAGAGATACAAAAGCAGTGATACCCAGTCCGGCTGACTATGGCAACCCAATACTATCCCAGGAATTTTCATAAGGCAGCCAGTTTAAGAAATCTCAATGATTTAATGCTGCATTTTTAAAAACACATTTCAAAAAGCTCTAAGTGCTCAGCTCATAACTAGAGCTGCTAAGGGCTCTGTAAATACAAATGTACAATTTCTCTGCTGGTCTCCACACATCAGTAACTATAATAGATGATAAACTGAAGTTAAAAGAGTCTCAAAGAACCTTTTATTGCTCATTTCCTCATAGGTCTCCAAGGAGCCTGACAGGAGATAAGCATCCATTTTTATCCCTCAGACGTCAAGAAATGACAAAGCCTTGAGTAAATTCCAATCATTTTGTTGGTCAGGATGTAATGATACAAAAAAAACAGATAAGCAGCAATAGTTAAATTAGGTAACATTGAAATGAAAAGACTTAATTTTTGTAAATTAAATTTTACATTAATAAACATTTATTGTTACCTCTTTCTGTTTCCCACCCTGACATACAACAGCCCCCAGCAGTATGGACAGGAGGAAAGGTACCTATGCCTCTGTCTTTCTGTATGTTTTCATTGGCTCATACAGAAGATTGAACCAAATCCAGGTGTTCCCGGGAAAAGAAAAACTTCAGCTTTGGACTTAAATTTGACCAGAAAGGATCTAGAAACTTTCTGCTTAAAGAAGCTAGCTAAGATATGACATGTCATTCAGCAACAAACTAAAGATAGTGAAAGGAGGAATTATAGTTACTGTTACCACAATTTTTAAGCATGGTAGTATGGAGTGAGAATCCTGCTGTACTGAGAGCTGCACAACCCTCCCTGTCTTCCCTCCATGGTAAGCTCTGGCTGTCAACCCATGCTTGGTTGTGCCAAGCTGAGGTGAGAACTGTGAGATGCTGCAGGGGGATGTCAGAGACCTGAGAGTGCAGCTTGGAGAATGGGAGCTGACACATGGAGCTTGGACCCATGGACGTGCATAAGCTGGGACAAAATAGTTAATAAAAATATCATTCAACAAATACATTGTATAGCTTTCAGTAATTCTTACCATCTGCCCACAATGACCTTAATATTTATAAATGCTACTGAATGTTATCTTAAGATTAGCAGTCACCTAGATCCCCAGATATTCAGGAGCTGTCTGTGGTATAGAATTTGGTCGTCTGTCCTTGTGGAGCTAGGCCTTGATTTCTGGACTTGAAGAGAAATCCTTACCAAAATCCTTTATTATTTTAGGTACAATTAGAAGGCAGTAGGAAAGATCATAGAATCATAAAGGATGGAAAAGACCTCTAAGTTCATCCAGTCCAAACATCCACTTGCTACCACTATTGCCCACTACACCATGCTCCTAAGAGCATGAAGAACTTGAAATTTGGCTGAAGATTGTAAAGCTCTTTTGGATAGATCTAAAAAATGCATTTAATTGTACAGATCCAGTGAGTGCACCTGCAAATCACTAATAGCAAAGCAAGTAGCAGCCACACAGAGTCCACTGTCAGAGTGTTAGCATATCTCAAATCAGTCAGATAAGACTGTGGTTACAGTCACATTAACTGTACATTCTATCAGATTTAACATTCTGCTCATGATCTGTAAGCACACTGATTGCTGTATCAGATAGCTTAGGACAAGCTTGCTTATTATTTCTTCTTATGATCTGAGGTGACACTAGTGTCACACAGATAGCTTTGAGATGAACCATTCCCAAAACACATGGAAAAACGTGTTGGGTTTGGGGTTGTTTTTGAAACTTTACTAGCATCAAATACAAACGATGCATTCAGGCAAATGTAGGAGTTAGTTTCAAGCCTGGAAAATTCTTAAGCAATTTTCCTGAGAACTAAAATAAAAGCTTCTAAATATAACTTATTTCAGAGCTGTCTGAAGAAAAGTGTATTTTGACAATTTTACAGAATAAAATTGGTATCAGAATTTACAATGTAACTATTTCAGAATGAAAAAAAATTAGTCCAACGGAGGTGGATATGCTTTTCTTCTTGCTAAAGAAAGTAAAAATCAAATCCATTAAAGAAACAGCCAGCTTAAATTTCTGTTATAGAGACATCCTCAATAACTATAAATAAATGCTTTATTTTTTCTTGTCCCACCAATCCTACAGGGACCGGGATCAGCTGGCCAGTTTGAGCAGTTCAAGCTTATAATTGTTTCATGATGGTATTCTGCAAGTTGCTGTGATCTTCCAGAAGAATAATTCTCCATGTGTTAGTGGGAAAGCCATGCATTAACTACATGCAATCTGTAGG